GTAACGATTGACATCTGTTCACGCGCTCGCGTAGTGGGGGTATGAGTTAGGTTGTCAATCTGCCTTCCTCGAAATTAGTGGAAAAGTAAGACCCCACAAGGTTTTATTATTAAGGGAAAATTAATTGATAACACTTAATTACCCTGTTATACTTTCCCACCGACGCAGCACCACAGTTTCTTTACTTCCTTCACTCATTCGTTCTTACGTAATCACTTTCTCCCTGCTAACTTAATCTGAAAAAAAAAATTGCTTGACAGAAAAAAGGGTATCTTTCACAATTTCAAATAAATTCTCATTAGGTCATGTTTATGCGGTTGTCTTTAATAGCTTTCCATTCCTACAGGTGCAGTTCTCGATACAAGAGGATTTGATACTCATGAAAATAGCTCGGCGGGTAATGCACTCAGAGATTACCTTAACGGTCTTCATGGCCAGTAAGTTTAATGCGCCTTAAAATAGTTTCATTCTTAAATGGCAATTTTCCAAGAGACTGGTACTAGCATAAGTGCATATCCTTGAAAATGCTTTCATTCAAGAAAATGTCAGATCGGGTCTGAACACGTTGAGTCTCTAAGGCTACCAGAGCAACTCTCCAGGTTCCTGAGAAACACCTTCAACTTGCAGTTTTTAGTGGAATTGTAATCGATATCAAACTGATAGTGTGGAGCAAACCAAAAGTCCTACAAAAAGGAATCAAACATTTCTGAAACAAATTACTTGAGATATAGTTTATCTATGTGTTTTGAAATCAATATTTTTCGAGTTATCGACGTCATAACTTCGCTTTTTGACAAATTTCAAGAATTTTAAAAAAAGCTCGAATTACTCGTACTTACTCCCGAACCACTTTGAATTTGACAACGTAGCACAGACGATATTGAGAGTAAGGGGTCTGTAGTGTCAGTGTTTTTAATTAAATGTATTTAGGACATTTTTTCCATGATTGGTATATTATGTGGCCTTATATTTCCAATACATTGTAACTTTTTGTTTGGACTTAAACCTCTTAAAAGCTCGTCAAACTTTTTAAGTGCTTTACATCTTGACGAAAGCATAGTTAATATTCGAGCCAGCTTTTTTATACCATTTGATAGCGGTAGTTTAACGTTTTATTATTAGATGTTTCCTATGTACGCATGTCACGCCTTAAAACAACCACATAGAATCTCCACCAGCGCGCTCAATGAAACATTTGAGGCACTCTTAAGCAATTGCATATAAACGTACACGCATTTACTGGATATGTCATTAGAACTTATAAATATATTACTTACTTACTAAGTACAACATAATTATTCAATCGAAATATAATTTTTAAATTAGAAAAATTTGCCCATTCAGTAGAACCTTCCTTTTTAATCACAATACGCACAACTTCTGATGGATCAATTATTTTACTTACTTAGAGTCATATGTGTAGATCGAGGAGTAAAGTCTTGAATTTAGGGTATAGTTATGCTTGGATAAGGAAGGAAAATTTCCAAAAGGCATTTTGTCCATTTTATCACCCCATAGAGTACGCCCAGACAATTTCAAATTCAACGTCAGTTACTTCATTTTTAGGAAACTGAATTGAAACGACGGCCGTCCTTGGAACAGTTCCCTCCCACGTCAACTGAAAGGCAATTGTCTATAGGCTCACTGTGGTTTAAAAGTCATGTGTGGCGTCGACTGGGGAAGAACGAATTACGAGACGTGGAGGAGTAGGTTCTACTCTCACCCACTACGCGTCTATGTTACTGGAGACCATTGGCAGTATTTTAATTTCCCTCAATACGTTATATTGTATCAGAAATTAATTTTCTAACACTCGTCGTTTGATAGGGTAATTCTTCTTTATTCTCTTTCTTCGCAAATTGATACAACGGGGACTAGCTTCTATATGACAGGGAAAACTAGAGTCTCCGCCTATAAAGGTGACACTGCAGATGACATTTCTTAGCCGTCAATCTTCTTATGTCGTCTTTGCACCATCTCAACTAGCGAATCACGCTTGACTACGTATTACAGTTTCCACATACTGAGTATGCACCTTAGAGTTGTTTACGCAGTTACAAAATCAATTTCTCCTTAACTTTCATATCTTTACGGTTGGGATCGGCCAGAACAGAAACGAGATCGATAATATAAAAATTACAATTAACCTTGGTTCAGAGTATCATTTATACCTGAAAGGGTATCTTAAGAGAAAATCACCTTTAAAGATTGTTACATAACAACATCTTGGTCACAAGAGTTAAAGAAGAAAGGCGCTCACAAGTACCGCCCCCAAATTGCTTTTGGTTGCGAAACATGAGGGATATCACCTGTTTACACCTTAAAATACCCCTGGTGACTAGAAGGTGTCGAACGCAACCTATTACCAGGGAGATTTACTCTTCCCGGACTAAAAAATTAACTTAATTAAGATCATGGCTTATCACGAGTTCATGTCATCCTCACGATCACAACGAGGAAAACGTGATTAAGCTCACTAGGAGAACGTGACCAAACTCACAAGAAGAACGTGACAAAACTCAACCTTCAAGATAAGACCACCAAGAAGGAGTACGAAGTAATCAACCTGCCCTTTTTATAATTTGCATTAAATGACTTAAAATAATATAATATTTCCATTCCTCTTTCCGACACCAATACAAGGAAACCCTTACGATATTGTAGATTAACTATAATTGTAATTTTATCATTTAACAATTGGTTATATTGACGAAGATCCTAAACACTACATAAGGATCGCATGTTGGGCTTGTTGACCGAAAATTAACCTAATAAACGGAACCTTTTTGTGCCAGGAATCAGAAAAGAGATAGTACAAGAAAACTCCCTTTTCACATATGATGAAATTTACAGAGAACTCACAAGGCAACGAACTTTGAGTAAAAAAACTGAAGAGATCCGAGCGGATGAACGCATTCATTGAGACCGATGAAAGACTGCATGCTGCCAAGGACAACTGAACGTATTGCGTACAAGAGACCTAAATAACCTGTAGACTCTCTTCGGCCGTTTCCTCGGATTCGTCCTTCGATCTTAC